GGAAGTTGAGGATGTAAAAAAATTGCTTTTTTCAAATCCACATATCTTGAGTTTTAAAGTTGTGTATTACAAGACAGCCTCATTACTTAATATTAGCCCAGTAAAATGTGAAAATTCTGGGAGACTTTCACACATGATTTATAATTATTTCTTTGAAGGAAAAATTTGTTTGGGTTTTGGCACTCATCACAAGTTCTGGAATACATTAATGGTGAGTACCCAGCTACCACCATTTATCTGTGTATATACACATATATGCACACATATGTATACATATATACACATATGTGATACATATATGTGAAAAAGATTTTCAGATATATCTGTTATATATATATCATTTTTTTATGTTGGATAGTTAAAGAAAGGTACCAGTTATCAGTAATACAAAGAAAATAAAAACCAAATGGCATAAGAACAAGATGGTTCAGCATACATAACCAAGGAACTTAAAATGTATATAAAATTAATTTTTTTAATTACCCAGTAGCTGAAATATTACTGAATAATATCAACTTTATGACCTGTCACTAAAGCTACTAAATATTTTTTCTTGCTTTAAAAGGTCTAAGATTATCAGATATAATTCACATCTTTTTTTTCTGTTTTTTGAGACAGGGTCCAGCTATGTACAGTTTAGTCTGGCTTTGAATTCACTGTGTAGCCAAGTCTGGCCTCAAGCTGACAGTGATCCTCCTCCTCAGTCTCCTGAGTGTTGGGATTCATGCGCCATCATGCCTAGTGATTTATTCTTTTTAGCCCCTGAATATACATTTAAAATACACCAAGAAGGGCCAACCAAATAGCTCAGTGGATTAAAGCACCTGCAAGGAGGTGCAGGGACCAGGGGTTTGATCCCCTGGCCTGCCTTGCCCACCCTGCCCCCCAGGGCACACTGAGATGGGAATGGAGACTGGGTGTGGTGGCGCGTACCTGTAATCCCAGCTTTAGGAGTCTGTAAACAGGCAGATCACTATGAGTCCAATCCATTAGTGAGACCCTGAACACCCTTCCCTAAAATACAGAAAAAAAAATAAATACACCTAGAAACCACTAATGACCAGATTATAAAATAGATTATTCATAGTGCTAGTGGTCACTAGACTAAGTTGAATAAGATGGAATATTATCTTGGGATATTATAATGAATATGTAATTATCTTATCATAACCCTAAAATTAGATAAGTATAGGTATACTCATCATATTAAAGTTCATTGTAGCACCTTACTAAAGATTTAAGAGCTTTGTAATCAAATTTTAGTTAAGAAAATATTTGGCATGTTAACACAAAATACATTCTTATTATCCCACATCCATTGTTTAAAAAAGGTATCAGTTAACTAACACTTGCCTTTGCCTATTAATTATGTTAAGATAAGAGATTTCTTTTCTTGCATTAATTATGATAACTTTGATTTTCAGGCATGAACTAATCACATTTGTGGTTAATAATTTTTCTTTACATTGAAGTAAATATTGTAAGTACCATCACATTTTGGTGGGTATTTCTTTTTTTCATATCCTCAGACTGATGAAGTATTTCTTGAGGCACAGATTCAGAATATTACAACCTCACCCATGTTTATGGAGAAAGTGTCATTGGAGCCATCCATAATGTACAGTGTAACAGAATTAAATTCAGTCAACCAGGCCGGAGAATGGTAAATATTACTTATGAAATAGTGTTTTAAAAGATGCATGCTTTTTTAGCCTCCACTGTTCTTAAATCTGTTGTTTTTTAATATTTAAATTTTTGGTTTTCTTTGGTGGTGGTAGGTTTTGTTTGTTTGGTTTGGTTTTTGATGGTGTCAGTGATCAAACCTAGGATCTTTGCAGTGATCTCCATCCTTAGCCTTTTTTTGTTTTTCATTTTGTACTTTGAGACAGATTCTCAATGTTATGGCTTGTGTCTGTATGTTCCTCCAAAGCCTCATGTGACCACAAGTGGAGTTTTTCAGAGGTGACTGGATCTAGTGTGTATGATACTCGGATTGGGGGTGTGTAATTACTCAGTTAGTCCACTGATTGATCTGACAATCTCTGGGTGTGGAAATGGGAAGGCCCACATTGGTATGGGTGGTACCAACCAAAAGCCCTTGAAGGGATGAAAAGGAGAAGCAGACTAAGTTGCCCAAGCTGAGCTTTGAACTTGTGATTCTCCTGCCTGAACCTCCCAGAGGGAGGAATTACAGGTTTATGCCACCAGGCCTGGAAAGACTGCTTTTTTAAGAAAAGTTAAGTCACAGAGAAATTCATATGAAAGAATGCTCTTACTATCAGTAATGGACCCATATTGATACTTTTTTCTTTTTATAGTACTGGGCATTGAACCACGAGCTTTCACACTGAACTACATCCCCATCCCAGTTTTCATTTCCTGCTTGGTCATAGTGTCCCTCTAAATTATTAACTTTCCCAGGCTGGGCTTAAACTTGCAAGCCTGCGTCAGCCTCCCAGAGTGCTGCAGTTAGAGGCCTGCACCAACAAGCCCAGCTGATACTCCTCTTTAACTTGAAGTCCACTATATGTGTTATACAGACTATGTGCTTTGACTGTAGTGTAGTCATTTGACTTTCCTAAAATTATCCTAACTCTAGCCATTAATCCCACCTTCTACATAAAAATACTCTCTACCCCTTTGCATGTGTGTTTTACTACTTAAAGCACAAATTCTTTGAATTCTCATAATTCAGTGAGTTAAATGTGAAAGCTAATGTGTTATCTTGCAAATGATGAAACTGAGGTATGAGAAGGAATGGTGGAAAAGTCAGGTTAGAGTGAGTATAAAAATTCTACTTTTAACAAAAAAGGAATAGATATGGGAGTGGATTTTAAGCTGGGCACAGGGGCATACTCCTATAATCCTACACTTAGGAGGCTAAGGCAGGAAGATTGCATATTCAAGGTTTGGCTGTATTACTTAAAAAAAAAATCCTGTCAAAAAGAAAACCCAGAAGGGGTGGGAGCAAGAATAGAAGATTTTAATTATTTTATGTCTTTCTACAGTAACTAATAAATAAATGTTCACATTAGTATGGAGAGGATGGAAAAAGAAAAGATTTTCTGTGTTAACTGAAAAAACTAAAAAATAAGTACTCAGCACATGTCCTTTTTGTTTGTGTTGAAACCTCTAACCTCAACTATTCTAGATCTTTGAGTGGTAAATCACTCAGTTTCTATCCAAAAGGAATAATCACAGCTGTGTCTCTTCTTTCAAAATATGCTCAGGAATTTTCACCCACCTCTTTCTTCCCTTCAGTGTCTCTACATTTGGGTCCAGAGCATATCTGCAGCCGATGGACACACGCCAGTACTTATATTGCCTAAAACCCAAGAAGGAGTTTGCAGAAAAAGCAGGCATCATTAAGGGAGTAACAGTAATAGGAAAATTGGATATAGTATGGAAAACAAATCTAGGTGAAAGGGGCAGGTTACAAACCAGCCAACTTCAAAGAATGGTGAGTCTGAAAATTCTTCTGTGGGGGTTTTTGTATATGGAGAGGGGCCATTTAAAGCAACTTAAATGTTCCTAGGTCTGTCACTAAAAATCTGGCTCCAATATGACTAATGAAAAGACCAATAGTTTCACTGATCTCTAGGTAAAAATTAATACAGCTGTGAATGAAAAACATTTAAATGTTAATTTATGCTTAATACAGTTTTTTAACTTTACCAATCAACAGTTTATCAGTTGTTCCTTCCTTTGGTATTTTCACTGTACCTGACTTCAGTTGTAATAGGATTTTTTTTTTTTCCATTATCCTGAAATGCTTGGACTTGATATGTTTACCTACTATTTATAAATTTCTTTTTTTAATGTTAAAATCTATCCAGGCATGGTGGGCTCTGCCTGCAGTCCCAGCACTCAGGCTAAGGTAGGCGGATCGCTACTAGTTACAGTCAACCTGAGCTACCAAGTTGAGTTCAGGCTGGCATTGAACTCATTGTGTACCAAGGCTAGTCTCAAATTCATGGCAATCCTCCTGCCTTAGCTTCTGTGGTACTGGTATTGTAGCTGAACACCACCATGCCCAGCTTTGAAATTTACTTTCTTTTTCGGAGGCAGTAATTTTTAAAAAGATGATGATCACTGAGCCTACTTTAAAATATATTAGTCATTCTGCCATGGTATGTTCAGTCTGCCCTTACCCATGCGTCTTGTAGAAAGACATGACTTTCTTCCTGGTTCATTTCCAAGTGAGCTCCCTCTGTCTCTTTAGGCACTAACCTGGCCCATTTACATTTACATATGTAGCAGCTACAGAACCACTAAAAGAAAAAGGCCCTTCGAGATCAGACCCCCTGGAACTTTTTTACTGAGTTTTTACTGATTACTTAACAAGATTCATCTAAATTCTACTGAACCTTGAGTAATTGTAACAACAGTCTAGCTCTGTGCCGTGTCCCACAGAGAGTGACAGAAAGAGACTGAGGGAAGGAAAAAATGGCTCGAGTATTGTTTCAGAATGTCAACTTGTTGACCCGTGTCTGTTGAGTGAAATGTGTTTATATGGTATCTTCATTAAGAAAGATTTTATAATAAATATATTCTAACCATGTTGTTTGCTTTCTTAGGCTCCAGGTTATGGAGATGTTAGGTTGTCTTTGGAGGCAATCCCAGACACTGTAAACCTTGAAGAGCCTTTCCATATTACTTGTAAAATAACAAACTGCAGGTAATGCCAGTGTTTATAGGTGGGTGTGCAACCCAAAAAACAACTTTTAAATCTTCTGAATATTCTTTAGAATTTCATCTAATATATAGCTTTCTGTGATTTTGTTGAAATACTGCAATGTCCTTTACCTGGTATCTGTGTAGTAAATATTTTGAAGACCTATTTGAGGAATTTCTCTATTTTTATTTAATGTATCATATTTTACGTGGTAGGTTTTAATTATTCACATTCTATGGAAGAGAAAGCCAACTTGGAAAGTTTAAGTGACTTTTTCAAGCTCAGAGAGCTAGAAAAGATGGGGCCTGAAGTGAAACCAAAAGTACTTGATGTCCAAGTCCATGTCTTTTCATTGTTTCACACATCCTTCACACTTCAGATTGCTAAAACATGCACTGATTCTGTCTTGTGTCTCACATTCTCCTGGGCACTCAGAAAACAAATTTACTGATAAAAGTAAGATTTCACAGTATCTCCCTGTGCAGTAAACAATGTATTCCTGTTTTTCTGGTCACTGGGCAGTGAGAGGACCATGGATCTAGTGCTGGAGATTTGTGACACCAGCTCTGTGCACTGGTGTGGGGTTTCGGGAAGACAGCTGGGAAAGCTGCACCCCAGCGCCTCCCTCGGCCTTGCCCTCACTCTGCTGTCTTCAGTGCAGGGGCTGCAGGTAGGTTCCTCTCCAGCCTTGGCTGACTGATGCTCTTCAGTAGAGCCATATTTTCGCTGGGGATTACCACTCAAAACTGAAGCCCACACCTTTCTCTCAATAGAGTGTCTCCGGCTTGAGACTGACAGACACGTTCCTGAAGAGAACATATGAATATGACGACATCGCACAAGTCTGTGTGGTCTCTTCAGCCGTTAAAGTGGAAAACTAATGAAAATTTCCAATGTGATGTTTTCATTTGGTTTCAGAGAACTGTTTTATTTCTGTATTTTTATCACCTTTGTGAAATGATCACATCAGTAGAACATATAACTTAAATTTCTTCTCTGTAAAACATGTAAAATATTAAATGTTTGAAAAGTACAGATTTTATCAAGTTAATATTGAGTGAACATTTCTGTATTTTCTACATATATTTCGCTTTAGATGAACATTAAACTCTATTGTCGAGAATCTTTGTATTTGAATGTTTGTCCCTGACAAGTGTCCAAAACAGAACTCAGCAAATTAGATTTGTAAAACGTCAAGGTATCAATTATCCTGGGTTTTTGCCAGCAAATCATTTGACATTTCCTATCACACAGGCAGAAAGTGCTGCAGGACTTAAAAAAACAAGCACCTAGATGGAACTTGATGGCTTCAATTTAGAAAATACAGTTATTTCTCATAACTTTAGAATTTTAATACTTTTATTCAGATACACTTCCATTAACTCCAGATTTTTTCCTAGTCAACAGGAAAGATTAGAACTAAGATAGTCCTGTAACCTAGTTGTTTGCTAACGCACATTTTCTACTTGTTTTCAATATTACAGTATTGGCATGTGTCTAACTTTCAGATACTGAGCAGATCAGAGTTGGTTTTATTTCTTTTTTTGTTTGTTTGTTTTCTTAGGTTTTTGACTGCTTGGCTTGCTTTTAACTAAGGTGCCTACTAATTTTCTAATTTTAATCTTAAAGCCACCAGGGTTTCCTTTGAGAAGTAAACTATTTTCGTAACACATGTTCCAAACTTGATGATTTTCATTTATTGTTGTTAATAATGTAAAACTTGATCTCTCCATCTAATCATATCTATTTACACCACTAACAAAACAGTTAAGGTTGTAAACAGCTGAGCAATGTGAACATAACAATGTTTCACTATTTTATCAGGAACACAAAAGTTTATAAAACCTATTTTGATAAAATAATAATGTATAATGTATCACTTCCTAAATGTAGAGTACAGTAAATCAAACACAAAAACTTTTTTCTTAAATGCATATTTATTGCCATGACAAACTGTTTGGTCCAGACTGAAAGCTATATTCAGGAGGGTGGCCCCTCAATCTGTAGTATTAATGAAATGTCTGTGCAAAATAAAGTGCAAGCAGTGTAAAACTGAAGCATATCACTCATCCAAAAATGATTGATTAAATGATGAAATAAAACTTACAGTCACTGTACTGGACACTTTTGTGTTTTGAGCATCTTTTCAGGACTGAACCTACTTTACTCTTTCAAAATTTGAAAGTAATATATAATGGTCACTTAGAATCTGCTGTATACTTTGATTTAATTATAAAGTCTCTTAACAAACAATAACCTAGACACATATTGTTCATATTTTGAAAGTTAGATAATGCCATCTTTGACAGGATTTGTGTATATTATAAAAGTTAGACTAACAGTTTGGTACATTAAATACAAAGGTCTTTGCATAAAAAGGACGTGTTCAGTTTTACTGAACAGGTACAGCTACTACAATGAAATGCAGTTAATGAAAGTCACACCTTCCTGATTAAAAGGTATATAAAAGTTTACTTTAATGCCCTCTTATGTCTCTTTGATAGCAGCTGTATTTTCCACACACAAAAGAATAATATTGAGGGCATTCTATGTAATTCGAAGAATGGCTGATACAAAGAGACCAATCAAAACATTCACAGAATAGCTTGCAATGCAATGGCTCTAAAATGATGAAGGGACCTGAAGAGCAAAAATGGCTTGAATGTAACAGAAATCTATGGACAGGTTATTATCTAAGTTGGATTTATCAGAGTTGGCATATTCCCAAAGAAACCAGAAGCATGAAAGGGAAGAAATACACCAGTTCCCACTGCTCATGTAAAAAGAATGGCAAACTCTATTGATAGTAACATATCAAGACTATTTTAAAGAAATGTTTTTTCATTAAGTGTCTGATTTTGTTATCTGGCCAAATAAACTAAGTCTGGAAAACATACACAACTGGTAGTTCTTCCCCTGAGTATTTGGTAGAATTCATCACTGAAGTCATCTGGGCTTCTAGCTTTCTATTTTTTTGAAGGTTGTTCACTATAAATTCAATTTTCTCAATGCAACATAGACCTGTTCAAGTATCTCTGTCCAGTGAACTTTGGCTGTCTGTATCCTAAAAAGAATTGGTCTATTTCATCTAAGTTGTTCAATATATAGATCTAGAATTAGCATTAGGGTTTCTAATTATGTTGTTTTTAGTGTGTGTGTTGTCAGAGTGAGTACTCCATGCTTTTAACATCTACAGATCTGAAGTATGTTTGTTCCTTTTTTTAAAATTGTATTGGGAGTCAAACCCCAGGACTCATATACAGTAGGCAAGCCCACTATCACTGAGGGCTTTATCCCTGGTCCTATTCTTTTGTGTCTCATACTGTTAAATTCTATTTTCTGTTTTCCTAGTCATTTAACTAGAAGCTTATCAATTTTACTGATCTGAAAGCTTTGGGGGTGGGGTATTGAGTGGGGCCTGAACCCAGGAGCTACTGAATTACATGGCTAGCCCATTTTTATTTTAAGACAGTCTCGCTAAGTCACTAGATTGCCTAGGCTTTGCTCCACCTTACAATCTTCCTGCCTTAGCATCCCAGAATGGTAGGCATGCACCACCACGCTCAGTTCTGAAGCATTTTTAATGAATTCAAAATAACTGTACTAGAAATGCTAATTTTAATACTAGGTTAGAATAATTCTTAATTAAGGACCAACTTTGCTTTTATCACAGTAACTTTCTTTTGTGATTACTGCTTTGTTTTGTATAACACTTAAAACACTAAGCTGAGTATAAATTCATGCAAATTAAGATAGTTTAGATTAAATTTCAAAAGGCCTCAGATTTCAGTTGTGCTTTTCTCTGGCCAGAACCACATGCTAATATAGGTCTTCATTTTAGCCTAAGCCTAGGACATGAGGCATTTACTGGAGAGAAACCTCTGTCATAGTGCTGCTCTAACTGTAAGCTCTTGCCAGGCATGGTAGCACATGCTGACAATCCCAGCACTTAGAAGACTGAAGTAGAACTGCCACAAATTTTAGGCCAGCCTGACCTATAGAGCAAGATCCTGTTTCAACAAACATAAATTTTAAGTTCTTGAGCCTATATCAGAACTACACTGTGTGGTCCTTAAAGCACTTTCCATGAGCATGGTGCTGCACACCTATAATTCCAGATATTCAGGAAGCTGACATAGGAGGATCATAAGTCCAAGGCCAGCCTGGGCAATTTAACAAGACGTTATATCAAAACACAATGGCAGGGGCCAGGGAGATGTCTCAGTAGAATAAGCACTTCCCTGGCCAGCGCAAGGACCTGAGTTCAATCCCCAGTTCTGAAAAAAAAAAAAAAAAAATGGCAGGAGATGTGGCTCAGGATAGGGCACCCCTGGGATTAATCCCTACTGTACCTCTCCCCCTGGAAAAAGTGATTCCTAAGTTGTACTGCAACACCTATTAAATCAAAATGGAAGCTATAACCTTGAATCTGATTTTGTAATGAATTCTCAGGTGACATTTACAGTGAAATTAGAATCACTGTTAAAATCTCATAAAGGGAAAAACATGGTTAAGTTTTTAACTTTTAAGAAACCAAATAGGCTTTTAAAAATAGAGTGAGTCTCTTATCACATCTTTACTGATCCATCTTACTTTGTTTTCAGTTTTCCTTCACAACACTTGTAAAATCATTACATGCTAACCTCACTTCACAATTTCATGATTAATGAAAAAGAAATTTCAGTTGGAATTAGCTCTCATCCATCATCATTCTTCAGCTATGTCATTATCATCCACTGACCAATATGGCATCTAATTCATAATAAAATATTTTAAATCCC